CTGGAGCTTGATAAACGTTCAACGTGACGGATGATTCAATTCGTCTTCTCATCAGCCATAACGGGCTCGCGCGAATAATATATCACTCCATTCAAAAAGCATCCGACGATATTAAAATCTCTACGCTCTCTCCATCACGCTGACCCTTCCTTTCATCCCAACCCATCATCGTCTGAACAAACCGTTCCAACTCTACTTAGCGGTCTAATCGAAGCTACTCGAGGAAAAGACAGTTTATAAATGCGACAAAACGTATTTACCATACGCTGATTCTTCTGTCAACACTCAGTCCCAAAATAACTGGACACTTTCTTTCCCGTTTTCCCAATATTTATGCATCTGAGCCTTTTCCTCCTTTCTTTCAATAACACCCCTGACGAATTCTTACCAGACCTTTTTTTCTGAGTGGGCCTTTTTCAGAATTTTCCAACCAAATCTCATTCCAATTCTCATCTTTTGTCAAAACCTAACCTTTTCCTTCCTTTCTACGATGCCGATAATCGATCCCTGACCGATCCTTATCAGGCCCTTTTTTCACGTGGCGCCTCGTCTCTCGTTTTCTCAGTATTTATGATTTTGGGCCTTTTCTATGAATTTTCCTCTCAAATCCCTTTTCTAAGGACATTCTTGTTCTCATTTTCCGTCAAAATCTAACACTTTCCTTTCTTTCTTTGGTAAGATCCCTGACCGATCCTTATCAGGCCCTTTTTCCACGTGGCGCCTCGTCTCTCGTTTTCTCAATATTTATGATTTTGGGCCTTTTCTATGAATTTTCCTCTCAAATCCTTTTTCTAAGGACATTCTTGTTCTCATTTTCCGTCAAAATCTAATATTTTCCTTCCTTTCTTTGGTAAGATTCCTGATCGATCCTTATCAGGCCCTTTTTCCACGTGGCGCCTCGCCTCTCGTTTTCTCAATATTTACACGTCTAGGCATTTTCTCTAAATTTTCCTTCCAAATCTTCTTTCTCAAGAACATCCCTAACTCTCATCTTCCGTCAAAACCACTGTACAAAAGGGGACTCTCACAAGGCCCAAAAACAGTAATTATCTATGTCTCTGCCCGGCTCTGAACTCCTGCATATGTAAGAGTATACTTGAACTGAAGGCGAGAGAGGGGCGTCAGCGAGTAGAAGGATGCTCGAAGAATGTACAAGAAGTTTTTTTTATATAAGATAGACACGAGAAAACAACTAAAAGAACAAATCGAACGGACAGGCAAACGGCCCAATAAATACACTTTACCTGTTTCTTTTAATCCTGACAGTATCATTTAATCCGCGCACCAAACCCTTGCACAAATATACTGAAATATTGTAACAGTGAAAGAACTTCGAATAAACTGAGATCCAAAATAATTCGTCTTGAGTGATTTGACAGTAGCCTGTAACACAGCGGGATGATCCTGCATGGGGACACCGGAGAATCGGGTTTCATTAACGAACAAAAGCCGATTCAGCACGCGAATTCTCGACGATGACGTTTGCCAGCCCTTTTGTATAACTGAAGCTCGTGTTCCTGGCTCGATGAATATCATACTCGGTGATCGAGGCAGCATCGCGCGATGAAATAACGCGAATGGACGTGCGAGTAGGCGCCTGAAAGGCTTGGATAGGAGGCTAGACGAAAGGACAAGGCCAGTGTTTTTACAAAAAACTGGCCGCTTGCAATGCCGGAAATAATTTCGGCGCGGGGAAAAAAGCTGGCTTCGTTCGCGGAAGAACGCCTGGATTATGAATTCTTCGTTCGCGTGGGCCGACCGAGGAGGATGAACTCGTGCTTTTGCTAGACTGGCTTATTAGCGGGACGTGATTTAGCAATGACAATTCGCCAAGGGAAATTTTTCTACGAACGTAACGGTGACCTTGTTTCTGAGTTAACGTAGATGGTATTACAGTCGTTTCTTTTCTTTCTGAAGAAAAATTCAAGCTCGTATACTTGATTTTTCCCTCTTTGAATCGTTTTCTCGAGGATTGCTTTGCTGGAAATATTCCGACCTTGAATTATTTATTTTTCAAAATACTATTAATTTTGTATCTTTTGTGTCTTTTGAGTTTCATTTTCCTGTTTTTATTACTATCATTGTTACTTTGTACTAAATTTTACTAAATTTTTAAATCATGACACTCGAAGCAGAATCATTTGTGTCCTATTCTATCCTTTACTTTTCTTTCGCTATTTCAGTAAAAGTACTTCGTACACTATTAAAAATGCAAAAAATATATTGCAACATTCGCAGAATATGAATTTACACAAAAAAAATTTGTGCAATCTGAGCGTTAAAGGGTTAAGACACTCACTGAATATGAAGCAAGCCTAAAACAGTCCCTACATACAAATTATTAAAATCCAAGAAAAATTACCCAACCCCCAGTTTCGTAATATAACGAGTGACACTAAAATCTGACAAAGAAGTGTAATTTAAATCGCACACAAACACTTTCTACACCGATATACATTTATATCACCACTATTCCAAAATTAAATCCTCGCTAGATTACCCCAGAGACAATTTCACTTTCAATCTCCGCGCGTCGGCGAACACGTGTTAACGTTATAACGTCAAAAGACTCACAGAACTGAATCCCATCACTTTGAGGAGCCACACGGTGAGCGCCAGGTTTAGGATCACGATGACCATCAGGGTGAGCACCAGAGAGTACAAACACCTCTTCCTCCAGCCGTACACGCCTAACCTGAAACCACCTTTACAGGACGCGGCGCCGGAAGTGCGGTCCTCTAGAATGGACGGTGTTGTCCTCGACGATGGTCCCGCGGACTGTCGTACAATGCTTCGACCGCCGGTCGACGTGCACGGCTCGTCCGACCAACCTGTCTGCCCTCGAGACATCCTGAAATTACAAACGAGCCAACTGAAACACCGTTCCCTCTACGCATGGACGAGTTTTAATACGGTAAACACGCGAAATGTCGCCCTTTTCCGACGGCTTTCGCATCCCTTTTCTCGTCGGATCCAACCTGAATTAATAAAGTTTTGATTGTTTTCTGGTTCTTTGACAATTCAAGGGTTACAAGCCGCAACGTTGCGAGTATCAAAATGGAAAATTTCGTGGAGAACCGAAGGGATTTCGAGCGTTCGCTGATAGGACACTAAGTTTTAAAAGGATGTCAAGATTAATTTAACACTGACCGTGCCACGCCTTGTCAAATGACCGGTTTTAAAATTTGATACGTAATTTTTTTTATTATTATCTGGAAGTGACGTGGTGTAAAAATAATTGTTACACTAAGGTTGCTTAACAAAAATGTATTTATTTAACCGATAACACTTAAACTATTTTTAATGTATAGGCGACACGATGCATGTAGGAAGCATGTCCACGACAAAACGCCTCGTGCCTTTTTCGGGGCTCCCCTAAGTAGCCCCTTTTTCTCTGGGAAAGTCTCAGGAAGTAGGGTCGCGGGCCTACATTGCTAAGGCAATATGTACTCTTGCCCTCGAGGACGAAGAAACCCGAAGATGTTTGGAAAACATCTCTCGACTCTTCGCCTCGAGGGTCAAGAGTCGCGAGGCCTAGCTACGTAGGCCCCCCGTGGCGGTCGCCACAATTATGTAAAGGCTATTTTCTGCGTGGTTGATGTATTAAACCGACAGTCAGCTGTGTTTCTTTCGGAAAAATATGATCTTTATTTTGTAACCGGTCACTTGACGACAAAATTTTCCAAGTATCGCGTGACGTTGTCTCAGAATCTGAAAATTTGCCGTTTACAGCATTGTGATATGCAACACTTTGGTGATGTTATCTCGGATTCTGAAAATTTCCCATTTACGTTTTGATATGGACTTCTCTGAAAAGAGGAACTTTATCTCGTAGAAATAGTAATTTTTATTGCTCTCGTTTTACTCCTAATTTCCATTCTTCAAAATTTCGGTCCATTTTGGGTCCAAAGACCTCACGTGTAACAATTTTTGTTACCAGCGCGTCATATAAACCTAGACAACAAACTTTTAACACAATGTTAAGAGAACATAAACTCGATAACAGCAAAATTTATTAAAAAGGTAAAAAGGCGATGGGTCAAAAAGAACCGAAGACCTCACCAAGGTTAAATTCATCACTGGAACGGCGAATACTTCCAATGAAGAAATTCACCCATCCAGAGACGTTCCGTATGTTAACGAAAAGAAACTAACCGAATAAAACAGTTCCGACTGAATAATGAAATCAATTAACACGTTCAATTTCGAAAAGCTTCAGATATATCCTCTCCGCTAGGCACGAACGAGTGCAGAATCCTAAAGAGTGACGCATAGTCGCATAAAAAGTAAGTTCAACGCGCAACAGCCAGCAATTAATAAGCCCGTAATTACCAGGCCATTCTTTCCCGATGATTTATCAACGATTTATGCCTGGCTCTCGCACACCGGCTGCTGGGAATTGGTCGTGGCCGTAGAAGAGAAGCAGAGGAACCAGCCGAGAAGACTGATCTCCTGGTTCTTACTTCTTGAAACACGAGCCTTCCTTTATACGTGCCTGGCGTCTAAAGAATCTACTCCTTTCCACTTAGTCCGTTTCTACGGACACGCGTTCCCTCCTCTCCCTCTCTCACCCGTTTTCCACACAATTCTACCGGAGTAGATTCGCGCGATTCTCGATCGGGGACGGAACGCGGAAGAAATCGCGAAATTAGCGCGGCAAATAGGGAGGGACTATAAAATTCGCCGCGATGCGAAACGAGGGTGGGACGCGGCGGATTATCAAACGGCAGATAATTAGCGGCGGTCGAGGCGCGCGCATGAGAAATGAAGGAGAGAAGGACGATTAAAAGGGGACAGAGAGCGGGTGCGTAAATGAAGTAAAAGGAGAATTTCTAGGTGAGAGGGATAACGAAGAGGGAGGATAAAGGAAAGGAGAGAAAGGAGTAGGACGGGAACTTATGTAAATCTGCCCGCAAAATAGCGGACGTAACTTTGCGTCCTAATCTCTCGGTCGCTGCTGGTCGGCTGACTCGAACGAATCGTCTTTTACTTACGCTTCCTTGCCTTGCTTCCACCCATCTTCAGCTCTCCTTCCGCGGATTGCTCGTTTTTATTTCCACGATTCGCGCGAGCCTGAAGAAGGGAAGACCGAGGGAACGGAGAGAACGATACAACGTCGCGAAGACAGGAGGTCCAACGAAGAAGACAGACGCGGACAGATAGAGAAAGAGAGAGAAGGGAAGAGGAACCGGTGTAGAAAAAGAGACACAAAGAGAGAAAACGTGGAGCAAGAGCTAAAATATTCAATGCTACCCCTCCGCCTTCTTGCGGATAATTATACCTCTCGCGGATATAAAGAGCTCGGTCGCTCGAAATTAAAAGCTCCGAAGATAAGCCCCCACGAGGGAAGAGGGCCGCCGCTAGCTTGCTTTTCAGGACTAGGAAGTGCACGATTTTCAGCAAGGGAACAGCCAGAACTGTGGAAGAGGGAGAGAGAGAGAGAGAGACAGAGAGAGTGGTCGACTATTATAGAGACGCTGCCACAGCTGTACGCCTCATCGAAGATTGTATTTAACGAGGGTCTTTAATCTGCCCGGCTTTTTCGGATTTCACGGCGATTTTCGATATTAATTTCTGGCGCCGGCAGACTCCGTAAACAAAATGCGGCCACGCGGAACTGAGCGACCGGAAGGCTTGACATTCTAGTTACTGGGAATTCGTGCTTTTGAGGGATACTTGGTGAACGCTCGGTAGAAGCGAATAAATGCTTTCCAGTTCATTATTACGGGTGATTTCTTGTTTTTCTCGGAGAATGCAACGTTTGTCAATCTCGAAATTATCGATGGAAAATTTGTTTGTCTAGTTTGGAACGAAAAATGAATTAATTTTATGCGTATATTCGAGTCCTGTTATGTTTTAAGGACTTTCGATTTGGGTTACGTATAATATTTTCAGTCTGGTCTACTTTCGCTCGCTTCTCTTGACTCCACGACTAGCGAGTCTTGCATAGAAGACTTATTTTAGTAAAGAGAAATTCGCTTGACTACTTTTATACGAAAAATAAATTCATTTCATGGGTATACTCGCGGTGGTATTTAATTTGACGCTGTTTTAGGAATTTCCGATTTGGGTTGCGTATAACCTTTTCATACGTTTTCTATTTTCACTTGCTTCTATTGGCTGAGAACTAAGTTTTATGTAGAAGTCTGATTTTAGTAGCTTTGTATATTATTCAAGATCATTTTCTAGTTCTTCTTGGACATTGTAATACTTTTCTGAACAAAGTAAGTGTCTTAATTTTCCATTAAAAATTTTTGCTTTAACTACAACGTGCAGTAATTCTTACTCCACCTTCGTCACTATACATCCTTCGAAAAGTATTCTAAATTTTACAGAAACACTCTATTCGTCGATACCGAATTTTCTCAGTCACCAACATGCTCGTCGCTTTCATCGTTCAATTCCCCCACACTTCTCCAACTTCGCCACTTCATAAACGAAAAACAACTCTAAACTTCGCAGGAACAGTTCATTCGTCGATACCGAATTCTCTCAATCACGAACGTATCCGTCGCTTTCAGCGTTGAAAACCGGCGTCGCCAGTCAATCCCCGCAATTCTCCCCGCGCGCGTCGTAAGGAACTTGGCGAATACAATGCAGCTCGTTGCTCAGTTCCGTTTCGAAACCACAGAGGCATAATCGTGGAAGTGTGCCTGGAACGAGCAGGCGACCGTTTCTTGCCCGTAAAACCGTACGAATATTTAAAGCCGTATCGAACCGGAAAGGGGGTGGTTTAACGCGCATTCGAAAGTCGTTATACACAGAACCGTAGCGAGAGAAACCAGGACACGAGGGCGAGATTCAGGTTCAAGGGGCAATTACAAAGCGGAAATATTCGCCGGATCATAAATAGCGTCGGACGTATGTTAAACGGTCGCTGGAACTTTTGACGTAGCGCGAAGTTAGCGCGGCCACCGCCATAATTTCACGGTTTCAAGCCCAAAGAGCATTACAAGTTGCGAAATTATCACTGCACTAACGTACGACCGTGTTACACGTTTTTTTCCTCTCGTCTCGTCTCCACGTTCGTTCTCCTCTCTCCTTTTGTCCACCGACCACGCAACTTCCGTGATAAATAGCGCTTTGTTCAAAACGAATTAAACGAGTGCTTACGCGCACGGAACCGCTCCGCTTGGAGTACCACTTGCTTTCGAATGCAGGACACGCGAGCTGCGACTCGCGATGCATTCCAACACGACGACGAAGATGAAAATCTTGAATGTAAGAGAAAAAAGAGGGGATCTGTATATGTGTATGAGCGCGATAGACGCTGAATTATGACATTCTAGGCGGTATCAATAAGAACGGTATGCATGGAAAGAGGGTGGATCTTAAGGAGATGTTATTCAATTGTATGTATTATAGATCGAAAGCAGAGCGCACCTATGGAATTTCTTTTGTGACGTCTGTACACTTGATTTATTCCAAGGAGACGTTCTTTAACGAGATAATAATAATAATGAGGGGAATATTGTGTTGTCAGAAAGATCTTAGTGTTCCATTCGGTGTGAATAATAAATATTACTGTCGCGTACGTTCTGTCTGTTGCGTACAACAGCGCAACTCGTACTTCGCACGCCGAATTAACTTTGTGCGAATAGTTTAATTCTAGTGGAAGACACTAAGAGCAGCATTCGAAGAATTTTTGAATTCAAATGCTAATGATTTTTATAAATCTGAGAAAGTGTGTAGAATCTTGTGGAAATAACTTTGTTTTAAATTTGATACAATGTACTTAAAGTTTCATTTCAGAAAACGACTTTAATAATAAGAATTTCGTAGCAAAACACGATGTCCTTCAAAATACCAAATCTTTTCGACTGTGCCGTAAACCTGATGGAAACTTAAGT